GGTCTTATGACTCAATTCATAATTTTGAAAACTTAACTCGGTTGAGATTGTTTTTTTTTTAGTTTGATTTGTTTACTTTTTTTTAAAAAAATTTATTATTTGATATTATTTTTTTAATTAGACTTTGTGATTTTATTTGGTTTTCTTTTTAGAAGATTATCATAATCTCAAGATTTAAGTTGCAAATTTGACAAATTAGCCTAACTAATCTCGAGCCTTATTTTGAAGTTGTTTTTTTTAATTTTTTTTTGATTTATTCATCAACATAGAAGTGGTTTTTTAATTGCGCTTCATATCTTTTCTCACTCTCCCTTCTAGTTGGGTATCCCATTTGCATGAACCAGGTAACAAGGTTTAAGGTTTAGTGGGTTTGCAAGTGTTTTGTTTTGTTAATTGTTTTTTACCCTTCTTTGTTGAGTTTTGTTGGGGATTGAACTTTATAATGTTTATTTTATTTTATTTTTATTAGATTATCCTAACTTCATGACTAGAGTCGTAAGTTTGATATACTAACTCAGGTTGATCTAGATCTAGGTTTTTTTATCTTTTTATTTTAATCTTTTCACATTGAATTAGTTAGGAATTGAGTTTTGATATTTTTTTTAAGCAAGCATTTTTTTGACATAGTATTATGATAAGTTTTTTTGTTTAATTTGGTATACTTATTGTCATGGTATGTTTTTTATTATTTAATTAAATAAATACCAGTTTATTTAACCTACTTGGATACATGATTCAAGATACAAATTTTTCTTATCTTTTTAAACACGCTTGCAGTGCTTGAATGTTTTTTTTTTTACACATAAAAAAGTTGGTATGACATTTTAGTATTCAATAAATGCTTGTTTTAGAATTTGGTATATATTGTGTTGTAAAATATTTTTTATTTGAAAATATATTAAAATGATATTTTTTATTTTTAAAAATTTATTTTTGATATTAACGTATCAAAACAATGAAAAAAATAAAAAAATAATTTTAAACAATTTTTTTAATTTTAAATAAACAATATTTTAGCCATGATGCTAAACATGTCTTAAATCGCTATAGTATTTAAAATCCAAATGGTAAGCAACGGAATAAAAAGCCTTCTATTTATCCCACATCGAAAAGATGTGAGTTTAGGGTTTAGGACCTTGAATATAAATAAAGCTCTAAGAAGGAATAATGGGTTAACCCGTCTTGTCAGGGGTGAAAGGCGACTTGTCTATGATCGTTTAGAGATGGCGAGTCGTGCCGACACCTTATACATCGAACACATCTTTCAGGCGAGTGAGTTCAGCCCTACTTTAGGTTGATCTTGCCCGCCAATTTTTGGAAGTCTCCCCTGCGGGAGAGGCTGCCAATAATCCTAAATATTAGACTTAATAAGAGTACGCAAAAATCCCAATATCCTTGTTTTTGATGAGGGGTGAAGAAGCATCAATCACGTCTTATGTGGGGTTGTGTCAAATTATGGGTTTTGTTTGAAAGTTTGAGTCTTTACTGGTGGTGTGATTTAAAGATTTTGTGTGCTTCAGTTCATTCAAGTAGGAAGAGAGACAGGAGATAATTCCTACTTAGTATATTGGGTTGTTGGAAACATTGATGTTTTAGTTTAATGAGTAATTATTGGTTGAAATATGTAGTCTTTTCTTATGATATCAGTACGTTTTGCTTCGAATTTTATCTTAATTTCATATTTAGTGCTTGCTCAGTGGAGGGATTAGTTGTAGGGTTTTTTTTTGTCAATTAAGTGTGTTAATTTATAGGATTTGTTTTAGTGTTTTGAGGTATATTTTAAGTTAATTGTTTATCAAATGTGTGGTTAGTTGAGACAAGGAGTTGATTAGTCTTGTTGTTGTTGTAAATACTGCTACGTTTACTGGAAATAGTTTTATGTACTTATCCGCCTTTTGTCTAAGATCAAGTGTAATCAGTTATTTTTTACGAAATTTGTATGTGTAGGGACAGGATGCAGCAGCTGTAGGCGCATATGATATGCCTTCATGTGAAACTTTGATTTATTTTGCCATGTCTTCCACTTTTTCGGTTTGGTTAATGTGTTTAAATGTGGGATTTTTTGTGTA